CAACTAGCTACAAGTAACATGCAAATATAGAAGACATTTTTTATTGCTGCTACGTTTTGTCAAAAATTATGAGATCAACAATAAATAAATTTAACAACTTATTAGGAATTTTTAAAAACTTTAAGTGAATTCTTACTATAATTAAATTGAAATTACTAAAAAAAAGTATTAAGAGAGATGATTTTTTATAACCGAATATTAGTTGATGGTTTCAGAATTAGTCTAAATTTCACCCTGAACAGTTAATAATTAGTACTGAATAATATATATATATATATGAAGATATAAGACTCAGAATTTAATGCCAGTTTTATTCCCATATTTTCTATGCCAATTTTTTTGTTTTTCGTAGCACAATTTTGCAGTTACGTTCCTTCTGACTAAAATTCACGATCTTTTGATTATAAATGATCACTTCAAACACAAGAAAAACCAACAGTTCTTTGAGGTTTTACCAGCTAAAACAGTATTATGTCGATGGACTTAATCTGATATTGATGAGGTATTGTAATGAAATGGATACCATCCCATTGCCAGAAAAATTCTTTCAGTTAGATTCAAATTTTGATTTTACAAAAAAAAGTGAATTTGGTTTGAAACTTCTAAACAATATGTCAGTAAAATATATATTTTAGTTGATGAAAGGTAAAAGAAAAAAGGAATTATCATGAAACGAAATTTTTATAGCTACCCTGATGATCCGCAACAATTTTTTTAAAACAGTGAATTTTTTATCATATTTTGAATATATTTTAAAATCCTTTTCACCAAGAGGTTGTTAAAAAAAAGCCTAAGAGTTAGGCAATTAACTTGATTAATCAATATAATTGAATACACCTATTTGTTTCACATAGTGTTTCTGATTATTACTGTTTTAGATTATTTCAACCATACGTTAATTGAAATTAGTTAAATCTATTAATGTCGTAAAAATAATCAGTTAATCAAAATTAGTGTTTCTGATCACACTATTTTTGATTATTCCAACTATCCAGTAATAGAAATATTGCTATTATGATATTTGTTTAGCTTAATTGATTAGTGTCATAACTACAGAAATAATTTACTAATTGAAATATTGCCATTATGTTTGTTGCTTAGCACAAAGCTACATAGTTGTAGCATAATAAGATGTTTTTAGTCAACTCGTGTGTATGAATAACCATTTTCAGCCATCTCAGCTAATCAATTAATGATCATTCTTATTAATTGATTAGCAAATTCCACTAAGAGTCTAGCTCTAAAACAAACTTATAAAAACAACTGTAGCTAAGAGCATAAGAGTTGACCAGACACCAATTTTCCTGGCTTTGCAGCAAGCTGTTTTAATTTTAGGTGAGCTAAAAAACATTGCACAAATGCATATATTATTTCACTGATTTCTAGGAATGTACAAGAAAGAAAACTTTTCCTAAAAAGTTTCAGAAATGATATGTGGTGACAATTGTTTATACTTACTTCATATTCATAACTGTGTATTTTGCCATAATTATTTTTTGAATAATTCCTTTTTAATATACATGTATAAGATACTACCCAAAAGAAAAAACACAGAATTTAGGGATTTTCCATGCAGAGCAATGTTTAAGCAACTGCCATAAGAAGTTGGCAGGTAATATTTGTTCAGTACATGATAAAAGTATGCACGTACTACATATTAGATGCTATTTTCATACAACTTTATATTTAAATATCTCGGTTTTTATTCTAAGCTCGGAGGGGAAGAAGCAATGTCAAGGAGCATTATTTGAAGTAATCTTTTAAAGTGGTAAATTGTTTTTTCTTTATTAATTCACAAATTCAAATATGCTTGGCCATGCTGCAACAGTTAGTCAGAAATATGGGCAAATTGGCATTTAAGTTTGATTTTTTTGATGCCAAAGTCTAAACAGTATAATAACAAAACCTATGACTGAAATACATTTTTTTGTTTTTCAAAACAAGTGTATGTTGAATTTTCATGTTTAGGAAACAAGTAAAAAGTTAAGTATTGATTTATATAACCAAAGGCTTTTGCTCCTGAACCTCTAATTTCAGTACCCTATCTTTAAATACAAACTAACAGTTTGGTTGAGATGCAGAGGATTTACTTTAGAATTCCAGCTAATGACTTCCCACTTTTTTTTTTTTTTTACATTGTAGTTTCTAAATTCCAGATAGTAACTGTAGTAATTTGGTGACTAATAATTTTATTCTTCAGGTTCTAAACCCAGCTAATGGAGAAGTACTTGGAACTGTTCCTGATTGTGGAGCTCAAGAAACTGAAGAAGCTATCAAAGCTGCTCATGACAGTTTCCAGTCATGGAGGTTTATTACAGCTAAAGTAATTAAGTGTGTTCAGTTTCTTTTTGCCACAATATCTGATTTCAAAAGTGTATACCTTTATAAGAAACTTAGCTTGCTGTTAATTTTCATGCAAAATACATTGAATTCATGTAAAGTTGATGCTGTGTTTTTCCATTTAAACTAGATTTAGGTTTTTATTGATTAACATTGTATTGCATTTATTTGGACCATTTCTTTCTTGCAACTATAACAAAATGTAAAGTCATGTTTTAACTAGTAAGAAAAGAAAGTTTAAATACTTTAATTGCAATATTTAATTAACTCTATGTGCAGAAGCAAAGGTCCAAGTGTGCATTATACAACCTTTTACAGAGTGCTATTCAACTGTGTATTAGGTATATTTGATGCCAGAGTTATAGGCCATTCATTTTACCCTATATTGCTGATTTAGTGACATTTGATGTTAGAGGAGAGTAAATACCAGATACAATATACAGAGATACTGAAACAACTGTAGACTTGCATTTCAGAGGCTATGCAAATGCAATGTGCCAACTGTACAATAAACAAAAGTATTTTTTTATTGTTCACATAAACATCACCTTGCAATTCAACTCTTCTGAATCTGAGTCAGGCTGACATCAGAAATTCACAGATGTATCTTTAGTACAGATACTTTCTTAATACATCTGTTGTTTTTTTTCAGTACAACAGACTTGTACTTCTTATTAAAAGCTTCCCACATTTTGTCAAAATGCATACAGTAATCTTGGAATATGATCAACATTTCTTGTCCAGTATGAGGTAGATCCAATGGACTAAACTCGTGTATATTGAGTTAATAAATAGTAACTGAAGTAACTGTAATGTATCACTAATAAATTTTGCTTGATAATTAAGTTTCTACATGTTGTAATTTTCTGGTTAAGAAATTAAGAGCCTGCTAATAATTATAATTTTTTTTGTTGTACTATATTTATCACTGCTAAATTTTATTACTTTATTCACAGTAATACTTTTGAGTGGTATGTTCAGAGTGACTTTCCTTTTCTGATTTTTTTTTTTTTTCTAGGAAAGAGGAGCAAAACTTCGTGCATTGTTTGAGTTACAAATCAAACATCACCGTGAACTTGCAGAGCTTCTCACAGCAGAAGCAGTAAGTAAATGGATAGTCCTAATTTTCTTGTACTGTTGCTAACGGTGAATGCTTTGTACAATATGAGCTTTTACAATATGTAAACTTTGTGAATTATAGAATTTTGTTATATTACAAAAGATACTAGGACCCCTCACTCCTATCTAGTAATGGACCTTTCTTTTTTGAATTTGCATGCAGATTTTTGTATCCATGGTGGGAATTTATGTTAATGGATATTTCATTCCTTGAAGGGGACTGAAATATAATCAGGGGCAGTCAGAAACTTCAGTTTCTCTTCACCCCACCATGCAAGTTAAGATTAAGTGGCACCTAACTTTAGAGAATTTTGGATTATTGTGGGGGAGTTTTTGATATAGGGCTAACTAGTAGGATTGCCTCAAGACATCAGGAGAAGCTGTGAGGAGATCTGAAAATATGATGAAAGAAGGAGAGTTTCTTGAGATGTTGACTGCCGGAACATGGAGAGGTAGCAGTGGGCGAAGCATGCGAGTTTGTTCATACACATGTTTTGTGTTTACACATGGTGGAGACATCAGTTGGGTTGAAATTTCATTGAGGAGAGCAGAGCATAGACATGTAAACCGAATATGTCCGAGTATGACAGTCAGCTAGTTGGAATGAAATGCTATAAAGAAATGAGCTTGTTAACCTGCTTAACTCTCTTGGTCAACTTGACTGACCACATGACCTCTTTGTACTCGTTTAAAGTCTTTATAGATTTTATACTTACTAACTTTTAATGTAGTATATATATATATATATATTCATGAAACTTGGCAGTCTTTCAGTTAACATTACAAGTCTTTCACATACAAAAAATCATACTTTTTAGTGAAGTATTTTAAATAAACTAAAGAAAGATTTGTCCTTGAATATATCGAGTATTTGTTTTGAATAGTCCATGAGCAAAGCAATTTTCATCTTAAGATTAAAAATACTTTTCTTCATCTCAAAAATCCCAAATTTCATTTGTGTACTCTCTAAAACCTCCTAAATACATTTCAAATGTTTGTTTCCAGTAAAACTTTATATTTTATCTGTTATTTTCTATACCCTAACTTTATACAAGGTTGGTCAATTTGACTGACATCATAATCACCAGAAAAAAAAAGAAAATCGAAATAAATCTAAATTACCCTTATTTTCTTTCAAGAATTACTTCAAATGTAGCATGAAACTACATTCTTTTATCTTTAGTAGTTATAAACTCGTAACATTATACATCTATTTAAAATTAAATGTTATTGTTTTATTGCCTTTTGAACTGTGTCTAACTACTGTTTGTGCCATAATATGTTGTAAATCACTTGGGGAATGTGGAGCTCATGTTACGCTATCAAATTACATTACCCACGAGCTGTTCGCATGCGTACCTCATGAAACATTTTTGTTATATTATTTATTTTACCTAATTTTTTATACTAATGGTAGTAATTCACTAAATGTTTTCATTTAATTAAATAATGCACCAAAGAACATAGAATAATAACATGCAAAATGTGGACAATTTCTTCTAACTATCACAGTTTTTCTGGTTTTCTAACTATGCAGAATGAGCCATTACAAATCCATCCAAGCTAGTCATTGTCGTTTCTGTAGGAACAAAGCTCCTACTGACAAAGAAATAGACAATTATTTGTTGAGGACATAATGTAGTATAATATGTAATTTGATAGATGAAAACCTTGGCTTTCTGTTGGTTGTAGATGATATAGAATTAAATGTAAGAGAGAACTATTAACAAATCCTGAAAGAGAGGCTGTGATAGGTGGGTGTACCAAGAGGGGTCTGATTTTCTATTTGATAGCTCTTTAACTAAACAAAATTTAAGGCTATAAAAATTAATGTTCTTTGTCTGAGCAACAACGATTTTATAGTGAGTAATTTACATTGAATTTCATAGGTATTGGAGGGGTTGTGGATAAAATAGAGAAGATGGAATACCTAGAGAAAATGTGTTGTGTGACACTAGGGGAACTTCAGAATGTTTTTAAATATTGCCTTATACAATTAAGAACTCAACTTGTATACTATTAAAATATGGATTATTAGTTAAGATTTTATGTTATACTAATTGGTATAACATAAAGAAAAAATAGTTTAATAAAATTTTGAATGTAAGACACTAAAACCTTGTGACATGTGCAGTAAAAGATACATGTGTGGATAGGGTTAAGAGGAATGGTTAATGTGTGTATCAATAGTGATCTATCTGAATGTCCTTGCCCTTTGTTAAAAAAAAGCAAACTGATGTGGTTCAACGCATTAATTTATATGAAATCAGTATAAATTATTTGCCAGAAGTGACACTTGTGTAACAGTACGCTATCCTCAATTATTGATGTGATATTTAAATCTTAACTTTTTTTTTATGTCGGGAAATTTTTTTCATGGATTTACAAAATATGTATATATGATTATCCCTTATCTGTTATCCATTGATCATGCATACATTAATATGAAGAATATGCAAAGTAATAAATTTTACAATACTTTGTTTGTCTCAGATGGATGGATTAAAATTGCCATTTGTCATCTCATTTGTGAAGAGTGATGGTGGTAATAGTATCATGTTTTACCTGATTTGAAGGAGGTTCACTGTTTAATACTTAAGAAAGTCACAAACTTCATATTATTTATAGTTACCCATTTTTAACAGTGCTGTACTGTCTTCAATATTTGAATTCTATGAGTAAAGGCCATACACATCTCCTACAGCACGATAATGCCTTACCAGAAAGTGTCAGCAGTGAGTTTGACAAATAACATCCAGGGTCTGACACGGCTTGGAGACACTGTAGAAATCTAACTAAGGGATAGACTACATTTGGAGCTGCTTAATAAAAGAATTAATGATTTACTCCCTATGTTATATAACAGTTGTTGGCAAGTGTTAATAATAGAGTCTGGGCTGTTGTCAGTTGTAAAGGTGGGCACATTACTTTTAGTAATGACAGAACACCCTTTTTTTTTAGTATGATGTCCTGATACTTTTGCTTATGTAGAATAGATATATGTCTATGTGTGTGTGTGAATGTTTTAAGAATATTCATGAAAATGATAAAACTAGTCAAAAGAAGGTGTTAGATTTTACCCTTTTCAATTCAGCTTTAATACATGTAAAATCTAATAACTATTTTATGTACTGGTTTACTTGTCACAAATCCTGAAATCCACATTGTATACAAAAGTATATTTTATAGTAAGTAAAAATAATAGTTTTGAAATAGGAGTACATGAATGATAAGTGTTTGGAACTAGTGCTATTAAAACAGTACCAGATATATTTCTCAACTTAAAGATGTAAGAGTTTCTAGAAAATACTGTTTAACACTAACAAAGGATCTGGAATAAGTACTCGTAGTAAAAGCTGATTAAAAGATAAAACAGGTGCTATCAATACTTACCACTTGAGGTTTTATTAGTCAAATATTAACACCTCTGTGCTGACCAATAAATCTGCTTTTAAGTTTATAATTTCAAAGAGCTTTAGAAAAACCTCCTCTGTAAACCTGTAGTCCACTTTCAGAGTAATGACAATGAGACTTAAATGAGCCAGGCATAAGGCATCATTATGTTAAAACAATTACTTTCAACTTTTTTTTCTTGTTTTCAATCTTATTTTATTAGTCATAGTAATCAAAACAAGATAATAAAGTAGAAATAACAATCTAAAAACCAAGTAGATGAATGTACAGTTACCCTCTATATGAAAATCAGGTTATAAGTATTCATATGAAAACATGTAAGAAACATGTATATGTGAAATTGGGCATAAAATACTAAAAAGAACAAAATACAATATTTTTCTTTTAAATTATGTTTGTCATACTAAAGATATAAAGTAAAGTTGTAAAGTTCTTTTCTTTTGTAAGATTGATTATACAGGTAAAATTGTCTAACCATACTTTCTTTGTTTTTTAGGTATTGCTTAATGCAAATAATATCAGTTTTTGTCTAATTAAGTTACTATTTAGAAATAGTCACCTGAAGTTATGATTGTTTATTGTTAATATCTCTTTCCAAAAATTTTCAATTTATTGAGTGGGAAGAAATTAAATATTACTGTAGCTTTGAAACATTACATGAGATTATTTTTGTATACCATATTTGAATAACATAGAATAAAAAATGTAACCATTAAAAAAAGTTATTTGAACATGCTATACATTGAATATGTAATATTATGAACTTAAGTGTTGATACAGAATGATGAAAACCTTATTACCCAAGCACTTTCATTTTGTATCAAGATTTCTTGAACCTACATCGTGAATGCATTCAAATGTTTTAACTTAATTATCAGTGGAAACCAAAAACATACATTTTCAACCATGTTTTGCAGAACTTTGTTTTCAGTACACACTACTAATACCTTCAATTGCTGTCAGTTTACCATAAAAATTATCCACTGAAATGTGTTACAACTATGTGCCACATCACATTCATTCAGATGTGTTTTGAATGTTTAGTGACTTAGATGTTTTTTTAAAAAGACTACGAATAAGTTAAGCCTACATTAATTTAGTAAAAAAATAACACTGAAAATAAACTGATATACTAGGGAAAGAGTCTGAAAGAAGCTACTGGAGAAATTAATTATGGAGCATCTTTCTTGGAGTGGTATGCAGAGGAAGCTCGACGTATCTATGGGGATGTGATTCCTTCTTCATCTAAAAACAAACAGCTAGTTGTCCTGAAACAGCCAATTGGAGTAGCTGCTCTTATTACACCAGTAAGTGGTAAAACTAAAAGCTAGAAAATATGCACTCAACTTTAATTTTCAGAATTAGTGTGTGCATAGCAGTAGACAGTGAATGGTGTGGCAGTATTAACTTGGTGTGTGTGTGTGTGTGTGTGTGTGTGTGAAGATGCTATAGGTACAAGTATCCATTAAGATGTTTGACAACATTAATCAGTCTTGTAGCTGTTATATTTACAAGTATTCATTGAATTGTTTGTCAGCACTAATCAGTCCTGTAAATATTGTATGTTTGCATTTATCAAGCAAATGATTTGTCAGTGCTAATTGGTCTTGTAACTGCTACTAATGTAACTATCCATTTAATTGCTTGTTAGCACTAATCAGTAGAGATAGGTTATTAGTGTAATTTAGTAATTAATTATCAGTTATCAGGCTTATTAATTGATTATTATCACACAACACCTGAATAGTTGGAATAATCAAAAATATTAATAATAAGGAACATTCAGTTCTAGTAGTTGATTACTTTCATGAGTCATGACACTAATAGATTAAGCTGAACAACCTTGAATTAATAGAAAATGATCAACTAATCATAATTAATGCTTCTAGATTATTCCAACTATCCAAGTAATTGAAATACTGCAATTGTGATTTCTCATTATTATTTTCATAACATTAGTTGACTTAATCATAATCTTGATGAAATTATTATTTTATGTGATATAATCAGTGCTCGTAGCTAATTGAAATAATCACTCGGCTATACTAATCATTCATGCTGATTTGTGCTCGTATACTATTCTACAGATAAACCATTAAAAAATGGAATTGAATGCTAAAAAATTATTCCTATTTGGTGACATTGTTTTATAATACAAATACATCTATAGTGAAAATTTTAATGTTAACTTCTAGTTGCCATCAGCTAAATTTGAGTGTGAGTCATATCTAATGTGAGTTTTTAAAGTCTGTTTTAATCACAAAAAACTTCCACCAGTTCAAGCTGTCGCAGTATGATTATTTCTAGTAAGTAAATGAGATTACCATATGTAACATTTTCAAATGTAATGAATAATTTATGAACACCCACTACTATACAAGTGAGAAAGAAAGATAGACATAGCAACAATGTTTGGTTGTAATTAATATTAGTAGAAGTTTTTATTTTCATCCAGAAAGTTTCATTTAATAATTAAGAATATTAAGAATCAAGAAAAATAATATTCTGAAACTGTTGTTTGAAATACAGATATCAAATTTGTTTTCTACACTCAGTATCTCTTACTTTTGAGTCAAAAGAATCTATATTAATACATTATTATAAGTAGGACTGAAATTAACCATTCTGTCGTATTTTAAGTGATTATTATGGCACTTGTAATTTTAGTTGTTGTGGATAATATGGCTGGAAAAACTGCTGTTGTCCTATTGCTAGAAAGCTTATAACCATTTAAAGTTAATTTGGTAGATAAATTATGATTTAATAGTAGTACAACAAATGGAATGACCTACTATGTATAAAAAAATGTAGAAACATATTTGTCTTTGTGTTATAGTGGAACTTCCCAAATGCGATGATCACCCGAAAGATGGGAGCAGCCTTGGCTGCTGGTTGCACTGTGGTTATCAAACCAGCTAGTGACACTCCATACTCAGCTCTAGCAATAGGAGCTTTGGCTGATGAAGCAGGGATACCACCTGGTGTTATTAACATTATACCCTCTTCAATTGAAACAACACCAATAGTTGGAAAAACATTATGTGAAAGCCCTCTTGTAACAGCTCTTTCTTTTACAGGATCTACACATGTTGGAAAGGTGAGAAGAGTTTGGCAATTATTGTGTTTTTAGGACTTTTCCACAAGACCTACACTTGTTGGACAGGTGAGAAGGGTTTGGCAATTATTGTGTTTTTAGCACTTCTCTTTTCCTCTTGGAAAGATGAGAAAAGTTTGGTAATTACATGTTTTTAGCACTTCTATCTTTGACAAGTTGTACGCAGGTTGGGAAGGTGAGAAAAGTTTAACAATTACTGTGTTTTAGCACTTATCTCTTCCACAAGATTTATGTTTGTTGGAAAGGTGAGTAAAGTTAGGTAATTATTGTGTTTTTAGCACTTCTTCCTTCCACAAGATCTACAAGTTGGAAAAGTGAAAAAATTCTGAAATGGATTTACCTCCACTCACACAAAAGTTATCTTTATTGTTGTCTGCCTTCTAAGCTAAAAGAATTTTTAGTAATCAGTGCACCAGTCTTTATACCCAACCAATTTCATTAAGTTTATTCAACAATTTCTATTTTTTGTTTGATTTCATTTGTTTCCACAAACTTGCATTTTAAATTTTCTCATTCTCAAATTCTATGTGTTTTTAGTATGAATTAAAGGTTTCCTGTGGTGGGCAATGACATTACCAGGACAGGCAACAATACACATAACACAACTTCTCAGGACATGGGGCTGACTTTATCCACTGAGGAAGCATGCCTTGGTTCACAGAGAGTTAGCATTTTATGTTCAGTTGGTTTTTTCTTCTTCTTTTCAATTTGACACTGTTTCTAAGTAAGAGGACACTCATTGAGTTACCACTTTGGTCTCTACTTTTTCAGGCACCTTTCCCCCAATCTGGCTGCTACGTTTTTCTCCTCCTTTCTTCCTCTAGCTTCAAGCTCTCCTGGGAAATTCGTCGTAAGTTTTCAACATGTACAATTCACATCAGGTTGATATACTTGTGATAGGGCTGTTCTGATGCCCTTTGTATAACTTTACCATTCTTTACACACAGGAGACTTGCGTATTTCACATCGTCAGTGCTTGATCATTGGTAAGTTAGATATTCAGTTGTACTTTGTTATCTATGTTGCTTTAGTTTATTTGTACATTAAATATTGATTATTACTTTGTAATTTCAGTAATTTCCATCAATATGTACATTAATTAATTTTACATATTTTGTTATTAATAATACTTTTCCTAGGTATGTTTTGATTGTGTGTTAGTTATATATCTTAACTACTTGTAATATCTAATTCGTTGTTGTGTTTGTGTAATTTGTTTAATGTAGTTGTTTGCTATGTTCCTTCTCATCCCCATTCACTTTAGTGTTGGACTTCATTACGTGTCCTTTATCATCTTGGTTAATTTCATGGAACGATATGTTGATATTGATTATTTGTCTTTTTTTTTTCTCAATAATTTTCATCTGTTTACAAGTTCATTTCTACTATTACTGTATATACTGGGTACATTCAGATTCTTTGTTCATGCCAATTATAAGTACTTTGTTTATTGGGTATGTTTGGTTAGTTTGTACCTTCCACATCCTTATTATTACTAACAAATAATTATTTGTTCTCTTTGAATAATGTTTTTGTCATTGTTAAGTATACCTTCTCCTCCTAATTTTAGTCATTGCATGACTTAGTTCTGTGTCCTTGTTGTTCAGGTTACTTTCTCTTTCTGGTACCTTATATATTACTTATTATTGTATTTTCTCAATAATTTCTGTCAGTTTGTATGTTTGTTATTTTCACAGTCTTTGTGGACTAAAAAAATGTTTATACTTTGCCTATTTGATGTTTCTCAGTCCTTTGTTTACTGGGTATATTTTGATAGCTGGTAAGTTACATATCTTTATTACTAGTAATATCTATTCATTTTTCTATCTGAAGTTTTGCATAAGTGCTTAATTGGGCCATTCCTTCCTAATTTTCATCAGTATAGGACTTAAAATTTTGCCTTGTTACTTCACTGATGTGTTTGGTTCTTTCCCTTTCTTAGGGATGAGCTTAGCTTTGGTTCCTATGTTCATAATCCTAGACAGCTGTTTATGTGTTTTATCGGGGAATACAATCTTTTGCCTGACCTTTTCACTCGATGTGTCTTGCATTCTTCATTCAATGGTTTGATTGGCTCCTGCTTGTTTCCTACCATTCTCAGTCCAGAGTCCACATTTCTCTGCTCCTACAAGATGCAGAATGGTTTGTTTTCCTTCTGACAAGGGGGAAGTCCATTCTGATCCTCCTTTTAATACCCCATTCATTTGGGTGGTTTCTTATTTCCACCCTCAGTAGGGCCTAGCCTTCTCCTCTTTGTCTATGAGTTTGGAGTGAGCAGTTCACATGTCCCACACCTTTCTTACAGCTCAATATGGTCTATCTTATTAGGGATATCAACTTCCTTGATTTGGGTTGGACTTGTATGCATTCCATTCAATGAACACTCCTTGATCAGTGGAACTTCTCTTCACATCTTTGGTTTAGTCATTGAATGTAGTCCAGACCATAGCAGGGGTGCTGCTTACTCTGCCTCGTCTGGATTTATGTCTTTTTTCCATACTCCTCTTTAGGGGGCTGAGGTTCTTACCTCGACTCCCAGGAGATTTCTGGTTTCTGATCATTCAAGAAGTCTTCCTCCATATCACCTTTCTCGAACCTTTGGTGGTTCATTGAGCCTTGTCCTACCTCCTTCCTCTCCAATGGGGGGTGGTGTTGGTGGTGAATTCCCATCTCTCCACTTTGGCCACTTATATCACTGAGCCAGTCTCTGTGCTTTTAGATGCTGGGTCTCTTTTCTGAGTCCACTGTCATCGCATTTTGGATTTCACTTGCCTTTATCTAGGCTCCTTCCATCTGGTGGTGGTTTGGTTATCTCCCAACAAGATTCTCATGATAAAGTGATCTCCCATTCCACAGATGTCATCACTCTCTGTCTTCATACATGGTTTTGTCTTGTCCATTGTTTCAGCCCAGTGTCTGACTCTAAATTTTGCATCCTTCCTTTCCAATCCACGAGACCTTCTTCCATGTCCATTTCCGACTGTTGTTAGTATACCTCCAACTTTAATCTCTTTACTGAAATTTATGTCCTTCCCACCCTTCCTTTGCTATTCTTCACCAGGTAGTTTGTCAAAGGTTTGTTCACTTCCTCAATGTCCAGTTTTCAGGCAGCCTTGTCTATCTCCTTTCATTTCTTCTGGGTTTTGTCTTACCCTGTCCTTTCCATTCCTTTGCTTTGCCGGTTGGATCTATGCCCTTTTATTGTCTTACATTTCCATCTACCTTCCCTCCTTCTCCTCCTTGCTTGTGGTTGTCATCATTCAGATTTTTATACCATTCATGTTATCCATATCTTTACCATTTCTCCTATGTCATCCTCTATCCCAACCTCAGTCCTTCCTCCCTAGGACCTATGCTGTGACTGTTTTCTGGCTTTCACACCCATTTCCTTACCTTCCATTCTTATCCAGTTCTTACCTTCAGGTGTTTTATGGTACGTTCTGCCTCCTTTTAGGGGTTTGTGTTTCTAATTCCTTATTCCCTGGAGCCCTTAGTTTTCAGTGTTCTGTTACTCTCACTGGTTTGGTTCATCAACTCATGTGGCTGACTTATTCAGATTTGTCCATGAAATGGTGCTGTCTCCACGATGTCACTTCACATCAAATTCATTACATTACTATGTCTTTTACTGCTTGTCTTCACTGTCCTTTGAGAGATATCAATCGGCTGGAATGTGAACTACTCTCAATACCTTTGTCGTTCATTATCTGCTAGATACGGCTGTGTCTTCCTCCCATGGAGATTTTACACATGTCCATTTGCCTTTGTCTGGGGTAAGTCTTATCGCTTTCTTTCGTATATGTTTTTTTTTTTCAGCTTCCCTAGTGTTAGTATCTTCTTTATGGATCCCATCTTGTAGTGGGTGTTGCCTGGTCAGATATGCTTTGTCTCAAACCTGTGTTTGTTGAAGTAACTATATAAGCTCACAGTTGGGATGGGGTGTTTCTGTAAGACCACTGGACATCTTTCCAGTGGTGTATATGTACATCTATGTATTGGAAATCATTAACACTATATCTTTGGTGGACCATCACTTATGGACTATATGAATAAAGCAGAAGGGGATTACTTAATCGGGTTCAATCTGCTTTTCAAAATAGGAAAATGCAGTCACCCATTGCACTGTCTCCTGTGTGACTTTCCTTCAGACTCACCACTGCCCTTTACCTTCCCCATTTTTTCTTCTAGTGGAGCATGGGAGTCCTTACCAGTCTCAGTTCCCAGTTGCTGGGGTGGTAGACCATGGAGGCTTCTTCCTGAGTGTCATCCCATATTACTGTACTTTATGCTTGTTTATCCACTCAATGAAAAGAGGGCAAAGTTGGTTTCCTACAGGTTGTTCCCCCAGATGTTTTCTGCCTGGCAGAAGGCAGATCACACTCAATAAAACCATTGATCAAATAATAATTAGGGCTAGTCAACTTAGGATCCTTCTCATAATTCCGGTTGCAGAATGACAGTGGAATGACAACACCCTGTTCCTATGGTTGTGTGCAGTAAATGCCTCTCTTTTCATTAATTCTGGTTGCAAAAGGTTCTTTCCTGTCTCTATAGTTGGGTGTGAGAGACTTCATCTGCCTTGTATTACCAGCAATGGGACATTTGTGCTCTGTTCTTATGGTTGGGTGAATGCTACTTGTCCTCCTCATTCTTCTGGATACAGGATGTCTGTCCTGCATTTAAAGTTGAGTGAGTTATGATTTTGCCCATAATACCAATTACAGTTTTTCCCTGTTCTTACAGTTGAGTCAAGGCAACACCAAGATCCCGTGATGCAGAGTCTGGTTTGTCATATTCTTGCTCCCATGATGGCTTTGGGAGTTTGTCTGGTTACGGCCTCTGCCCACTTCCTCTTTATAATGCTGATTGATTGATGTATGGCACTCTGTTTAGTTATGGTTGGGGTTGTTTGGTATCGATAACATGATCCACATACCCTAGCCACTTGTTGTTGTTAATCCTTTTTTTTTTTTCCTTGTTATATGTTGCTACAGCTTGCATCTTCTCAACACTTTTACAATCATGCAAGCACTACCTAATCCAGAAGTAGGGAGGTACCCTATAGGTATCCTTCATTTTCACTACGAGCACATCTGTTCATTCTTGGCAGTTGTTTTCCACTTGGTTCGTTCTTTGTGCACCTACACCAGCCCTTCATCTTTGCTATGTGAGATTCTAGCCTTTTTTATATGAAGTTATCATTTTATTACATTGAAAATGTACTTCCAATAGGCATTTACCTCCTTTTACACACTTCCCACCCTTTCTCTCCAAAAAAACTGGTATTTTTATTCTAGTACTTGCCAATTCTTGAAAGTGAGAATTGAGTGTGAATAGCAGAGGGAGCTAGTTGCACCGTTAAAGGTGGCCCAGTGCTATTGATGGGGAGTAGTCACATGATATGTACATGTTCAGAAATGGTACAAAGATTGGTGTGCTGATTACTAAAAATTCTTTTAGCAATGTTTAGAGGGCAGACAATGATCAAGATAGCTTTTGTGTGAGTAGAGGTAAGTACCTATTAAAAATACATTTTCAGTGTAAGAAAATGTTAACATTTGGTAATTATTGTTTTTTTTAACACTTCTCTCTTTCACAAGATTTACAAGAGTTGGAAAGGGAAGAAGTGTTTAGTAATTGATCTATTTACCAGTTCGTTTACATATTTGAATAAAGATTGTTTTATTTGTTAACTTGTGTTTCTTTCTTTCTTTCTTTTGCTTTCAAGTTTGTAATTATTCTGGGCTGTACATTTCCAGAAACTGCATTTCTGCTGATCTTTGAATTAATCTGTTAAATATCAGTGGACTAGAATAACTCATTATGTTGTCATATTGTGTTAATAGAAGCTCAGTAATATGTCATTTTTATTAACATTACCAACTAAATAAGTTTATATGTATTGACTTTTTTTTTAACTTTATATAGATGATTTTCAGTGGTATAACTTGTATAAAAGCATTGCAGTAATTATTTTTGAACACTGGAACTGTATAATTCTCACCATGATTACTGTTGGTGTATTTAAATGATAAGGTACGGAATGACTGGGATACTACAATTTTATAACTTCCTAATTTTAAATGATATACCTCACATTCACAACTCAAGTAAACTGAAAACCACAGTGGATAATTCTGTTATCACTGTCGGTCTCTAATGTTTGCAAAATTAATCCAAAATTTATAAACTATATATTTGTTTTGCTCTTTTTCCCCAGTGGCACAGCAATAAGTTTATAGACTTACAGCACTAAAATCCAGGGTTTGATTCCCTGTAGTGGACACAGCAGATAGCCAAATGTGGCTTTGCTCTGAAACAAACAAGTTTTATACTGCAGGATATTAAATTTTGTATCTTATAAAAAACCTCAAATATATGTATACAACTTTCCTCTGAAAATTGAAACTCCTATAATCTTGAAATTAAATGTTTTTATATATATAAATATGAGGAATTGTTTATGACTCTTCGGTTTTGTATAATTGTAATACTGTTTAAAATGTAATAAGTGCTTTCAATGCAATAAAAGTTTTAAAAGTTTTGTAGAGATTTTTTATCTTAATTGAATATTATTCTGGATGACTAAAGGTATTAACTGGTTCATTACAGTCATTTAAACTTTATGTGAAATGTTCATGTCTGTAACTTCTGATTTTGTTTATTAATTATCATATTTTAACAGTGTAATTTAAGTAGCCTTTTTTATATTTTTTTTACATGCTTATATATATATTAAACTAACAAATATGTCCTGTGTATGACAAAAAGGGTGGTATGATCTTTAAAAACAGTTTGAGGTATATATTACTGTAGTTATCCTTACCATATGTTTTAGTTACAGATTATTCTGTCTGTCATTTAGTTATCAGTAAGAGTTCACAAATTCAATTCTATACATTAATTCTACAAGGTTTTTGGTTGTTTAAAAAAGTAAATTAGTTGAGGCACAGTCTTTCAAGAGAAGCTGTTAGAAATAAAACATTCAGTGGTTAGTTAAAATTAATTATATATTCAGTCAAGCAAGCAGTATCTTGTTTACAATACTAGGTTAGATAAATGTATTATAAAAAAACTAAAAATGAGAGTGAATATCCACAGCACATGCTCATGCATCATTTGTTTGTTTGTTTGTAATTAAGCACAAAGCTACACTATAGGCTATCTGTGCTCTTTGTTTTAGCAATCCCAAATCTCTTCTGTAGCTCCAGTTTGCTTGAATAATTATCAAAGACTCCAAAATAACATATTAAAAGGCAAAGTTCTTGTTA